ATGCAGGCAGCTAAGCCATTCCTTGATCATTATCATCTCAGTAAAGAAGCCAGAGAGGGAAGGCTGCAAGTATTTTTCCAGCTTTGGAAAATACAATCCCTTAAGAGAGAAAATGGTTTGAGGAAGGAAGCTCCTTCCCAACCTTCAGAGATTTCCCTGGGTTGGGGAACTACATGAGTGGCCTGCAGGGGGAGAGGAATATGCCATAACATATATCAGGGGCCATGACACTGGCCCAGGGAAGACAAGGAAGGGATGCTGGGTGCCCATGCCTTCCTGTAGTAGGCATCCCTTCTCCTAGAAATGCTGGACTGTGGCTGTGGGGTGGCAAGAAGACCTCTGACCATCTCCCCAACCCACTCCCAAACCTCTCCATCCCCCAACCACACAGAGCCAAGGCTGAAGTACCAAGGAGCTGGCTGCACTGCTGAAGCCCCAAGAACCAATGACAGAGAAACACACATTCTCACTACACCACAATGCCTGGGCATTTTTGAGGACCTGAGTGATTGGAATTGTATTGGTCTCCTTTTTCACATAAGCCACTTGTTTCATTTTCTTCTCTTATTGCATTGGCAGGTTCTCTGAAACAATGTGGAATAAGCCGTCCTTCTAAGGGCAGATCATCTATTGCCATTTCAACTCTTTTATGGTTCTTTATCTGCTAACACGTTTCTACCTATTATTGAGACAACCTGGGTAATGTATATTTTTCTAGAAATTATCCTTTTTATTTTTTGGTTCTGAGGACTGAACCATGGTATTGCACTTCTCATATGCTCTTTCATTGATCTATACTCCTGGCCCCTGTAACTACTTTCTTATTTCTAATAATGTTTTTGCTTTTTTCCTTTCCTTTGAAAAAGGAAGGACTCCCTTGAGGGGAGTCCATGTAATTAATTTTTTTTAATAAAGCATCATATTTGGGTTTATTTATATTATTTTGTTTTCTTTCTCATTATTTTCAACATTTACCTTTATTAATTCCCTCCTACTGTGTGTCCTTTTGTATTATTTTAATTTCCTAAGTTAAATACATAAGTGGAATTTTCGCATTTTATTTTTAATGACAAAATAATTTATGTACTGTAAATTTTCCTCTGATTGCAGCTTTATCTATGTCCCTTAGGTTTTGATGTAGTTCCTTTTGTGATTCCTTAATGATTTGGGGGGAAGATCATTTTTTTCTTAAACTCTTGACTTCTGTTTTGCTGAGATATGATCAGAGACTGTGACATGTAGAATCTTGATTTCACTGAGACTGTCTAAAGTTTTGCTTGTGGACAAGAACATGCTTGATGTTGGGGAACATAAGAGAAGAAGGGATATTCTCTGCTTACAGAGTAAAACCTATAACAATTAAACTAAGCTCCTAACTCAATTGTTCAAATCTTGTCTACTAAGATCTTCTATTTTCTGGAAGACATAGGACATCATCATAACCCAAGAACACTTGTACTAGAAGAAAACTCTCTATAGTGAATCTACTGAGGGAAGGGCAAAATTTCATTCATAAGGCAAAAAGACTTTATTGCTATTATATACTGAGAAGTAAAACTAAATATTGTAAAAATGTAATTATCCAATATTACTGAAATTTAGATTAAAATGTAAAAATGTAACAATTTTTAAAACAAATATAAATTCAGTGTACTTTTTCATATGTATCCTATACTTGTTATACTTCTTATTTTTAAGTTTTTGCTTTGCATAAAAGCAATAAACCTCAGCTGAAAACAGTGGCACACATCTGTAAGCTCAGCAACTCAGGAGCCTGAGGCAGGAGGATCACAAGTTCGAGGCCAACCTCAGTAACTCAGTGAGGCCCTAAACAATGTAGGGAGACTCTGTCTCAAAGTAAAAATAAAAAGGGTTGAAGATGTGGCTCAGTGTTTATGCACCCCTGGGTTCCATCCCCAGTATCAAAACAACAACAACAAAACAATAAACCTCATAATGACTTTCTGAAGTATAATGTATCTTATAAAATTGTGTGATAACATGACAAGACAACCTTCGGTTCACATTTGACTTTGGCAATACTATTATGTTTTGCAAAAGGGAATTTATGGTTTTAGCTATTGTCCTAAGGGCCTCTCAATCCTTTGCAGTCAGGATTGCACTCCACAGAAACCTAATTTAGAAACTTAAACAAGATAGGCACTTATTTTTCTCGTATGAAAAAAAAAAATCCAAAGGCAAACAGATGAGCCAGTGCTGTCGCTTATGGAAAGAACTGCAAATTCAGTTCCTCTAGGTCCTGGCTCTGCTCTCTTTAAGTTGCTTCTTTCTCCTTGCCTTCTCATGATGGCTGCTACATCTCCAGACATCATACCCACATTCTGATTCAAAGAAGCAGGCAGGACCCGAGGGGAAAGAAAAAGTTCAAGACAGCTTACTCTCCTCCTTACTTATCAGGAAAAGTTTCACAGAAGCCCCACAACCAGACCAAAACATGGCCAAAACATGATCCCATGGTTATCCTAACTGCAAAAAGAGTATGGGAGGTGAGAATTTTTAACTGAGCACATCATCACTCTGAGCAAAAATTGGTTCCAGTCAGAAAGAGAGAATGAATTTTGGATAGCAATTACAACTTCTGACATAATAATAAAACCATTTAAAAATATTTCCTTTATATTTCTGGTAAGACTTCTCTGTTGCTTACTAATCTCTGTTGGTCAGTGGTTTTGCATGTAACCTAGCAATTCTCCAATATATCTTCTTAAAACATCCTAAAATACTACTATTTTCAAAACTCATGGTTTCATTTGCAATTAACTTGGATTATTATGTATTATGTGGTTATTTCTACAATCATTGAGAGGCTGATCATCAAAAATATTGATGCATTTGCTTGGGATAGACAAGTAACCTGAAGGGATGTTTGAGCAGACAATAATTTTGTAGAAGCTCAGTTTATTGGTACCTGAATTCAAACTGTGGCTAAATCTCTTACCAGCTATGAAAATTTGGGCAACTTTTTCAACCCTTCTATGTCTGTCTGTTTCTTCATTTGCAAAATGGGAAGGGTTTATCAATCATCTATTTCTGCAAAAGAAATCACTCCCAAAACTTTAAACAACCACCATTTTATTTTCTCATGATTCTATGAATTAACAATTTGGACTAGGCTCTGCTGATCTTCATGCAGCCATGGTCATCTGGAACTCAACCAGGGCTGGCTGATCTAAGACAGCTCACTCACACATCTGGTGATTGGTGTTGGATCACAAGTCTTCAAAAGGCTGAACTTACCTTTTTAACATGATGGTGGAAATGTTTAAGTGTTCTAAGCAAGAATGCAAGATGCAAAGTCTCTTGAGACCTAGCTCAGAAGTCACAAAAAGTAACTTATACTACATTCCATCATCAAAGCAAGTCACAAAGCCAGATCAGATTCACGGGGTGAAAAAAAATAGATTTCTCCGCTTAAGAGGAGAAACGGTAAAGTCACATTGAAAAGGTTGTATGTACAAAGGTGGAAAGAATGATGATTACAGTCACTTTGTCAAAGAGAAGGTAATAATCATGACACACAGTTTGTGGGAAGGACTGAAAGAATTAAGACCTATAAAGTGCTTAGAACCTTGACAAGCACATATTAAGTGCTCAATGTGTGTTTTTTTTATTATCATCATCATTGTCATTGTTATTGCACTAGAAGTACTCTTGTTTCCCAAAGCAACCTCTTAATTGAAGAGACTTGAATAACAGAATGTCAGATCATTCGCCCTTTGTATCAAAACATCCTATTGTAATTGTATTTTCCCTGAAGAGTCCTATGCTTTATGTGTTTGCTTACCAAATTATTTGGTACATATGTGTTTATGAAGGTTTTTAGTTTCTCAGTGAATAGTCCTTCCAAGTTTCACAATTTCCTTCTCTGTCGTGTTCAATACTTTACCCCTTGAATTCCATATTGATGGATAATCGAACTGTCACCTTACTTGCTTTTTGTCTGAATTTTTCTGGTATCTCTTTGCTCAACAATTAATTTGTATCTTTATTTTTGATGCATCTTCTGTAAACAGAATCTACTTGAATTTTCTTTTTTTCTAATTTCATAGGAAAATTTGTAATTTTATTTATTTATTTATTTCACTACTGGAGATTAAACCCAGATGCACTCTACCACTAAGCTACAACCCTTTTTATTTTTTATTTTGGGACAGGGTTTCACTAAGGTGCTAGGGCTGGTCTTGAACTTGCAATCCTCCTGCCTCAGCCTCCAGAGTTGCTATGTTACTGGCATATGCCACAATACCAGTCAGAAAATTCCCAATTTATTATGGTAGATGATATATATTAGGTTAAACTACCTGAATTTTATTTTATGTTTACTAATTTTAGTATATACTTTATATATTATGCTTATTAAATTATTGTCATTTTTCTCTTTCCTCTTTACCGTCTTCTGCTGGCTGCCTCAGGTTTATCACCACTTTTTAAAAAATCCCATGATACTTTCATCCCCAGAACAGTTACCTTTCTCTCCCTAACAATTGTAGAAAGCTCTATTTATATAAAGAAATGTCTTTTTAAATTGTTTATTTGTTCTTTTTAATTATATATGACAGTAGAAAGTATTTCATCATATTATACATAAATGGAGTATAGCTTCCCATTCTTGTGGCTGTACATGATCTGGAGTTATACAGTTCGTATATTCATATATGAACACAGGAAATTTGTGTCTTCCCTTCATTTCCCCTTTGTCTCATCCAAAGAACTTCTATTCTTCCCTCCACCCCTGACAGTATCTGCATATCAGATACTGTGAGTCAGTATCTGCATATCAGAGAGGAATTTTGGCTTTGGGATTGGCTTTTGGATTTTGAGGATTGGCTTATTTCACTTAGCATGATAGTCTCCAGTTCCATCCATTTACCAGTAAATGCTATAATTTCATTCTTCTCTATGGCTGAGTACATATTATGTATTTCTGTGTAACAAAGTACTCCAAAATATAGCGGCTTAAAATAATAGTCATTAGTTACCGGATAATTTCAGGAGTCCTGGAGCAGCTCAGCTGAAGAGTCCTGGCTCAGGGTCTTTCATTAGCCTCTATCAAGTGTCCACCAAGGATGCAGTCATCTGGGCTTGACTGGGACTGGAGGGTCCTTTCCAAGCTCACTCATGTGGCGGTTGGCAAGAGGCTACAGTTCCTTGTCTCAAGGACCTCCCTCCATGGGGCTGCTCACAACATGGATCAAGTGATGTGAGAGAGAGACAGAGAGAGGTATTGGTGACTTTTATACCTACTCTTGTTCATACTTAATTGCTGTTTTAGGTTCTCTTGATTAAAGTGGGTCCCTAAGTTCCCCCCCAAATTCCTAAGAAAAAGAAATTAAGGTCTATCTCTTGAATAGAAGATCATCAAAGAATTCGTGGACATATTTCCTAAGCTATCACATAGATATACCAATTTCAAATAACCACCCTCCCATCTAGATGTTTTTCTTGCGGTTCACTAAGATAGAAAGAAGCCCTACCTTGCCCTCTTCCCTATACCATGCTCCACCCCTCCTTCATCCCAGTGTCTAGCCTCATTCCAAATTCCACTTCCAGGTCATTTCTTGGTTTTTCTTATTGTGCCCCAATTCATCTGATTTGGGGGTATGGTATTTCTCCAGTTTTTTACTTAGACAGGGTACAAGACTTTGCCTGCTCTGCAATCCCTTGCCATTGCCCTGATATGTGAATGATGACTTATGTGGAAATAGGATTCTTGGGTCCCTGTCCTTGTCCTTCAAGAGTGAAATCAGTGCCCACTCTCAGGTCTTCCATTTTCCAAGGCAGCAGACAAGAAAGCCTATATTAACCTGTTTTTTTTTCCCCTTTGTAAGGAACCCTCCTTTTTGTCTGGAAGTTTATAATTCAGGAATTACACCAGGGTCTGTCTATGTCTTTTTTTAATTAATCCTTCTTGGAACTCTATCAGCCTCTTTAATCAAGGCTTTCTTCAGCTCAGAAAATGTTCTTTAATTAATTGTTCAATTATTGTCTTTCCTTTATATGTTCTTCTTTTTCCCTCCTTTTTTCTTTTTCTAAAAGCCCCTCTCCTTTGAATGTTAGATCCCTGGATTTGTCCTCCAAATCTCTTTCTGGTTTTGCACTGTGGTGAGATTTTTCGTGCACTTTAACTCTCAGGACATTGACTTATTTCCTGCAATGATCATTCTCTTTCTGAGTTCATTGGCTGAATTTTTAAACTGAGAAAAGCTTTCTCAGGTCCTGACAATCCTCTCCCACCATCAGTTCATCTCCCTGAGATTTTTTTTTTTTTTTTTTTTTTTGCTATAGTTCTCTTCTCTCCTCAGTAGTGCCCACTCTTCTGGTTTGTCAGTTTGGACTTCCTCCCTTGGGTTCCTGGATTCTCAGATCGGATGCTAGTTTACCTAGCTGGGGGTACCTTGACACCCATGCACGGTAGGCTGCAGGTATTCTCTGGGCAGCAACAAACCAGCATGCAGTTTCAGGCAGTTTGAAACCTTATCTGAGCAACGAGCAAACTGGTACATGTCCCCCTTCTGCCGAGGGCTGGTGGTATCCTGAGATTTCCTGAGGCCAGCAGTGATCCACTGACTGCCAAATTCCTTTTTCCAGGGGTGAAAGACACAGGACAGAGAGAGGTCCCTGCATGATAGGAAGAAATCCTGCTCCTTCTCCAGCACTCCCCTGCAAATTGGCCTCACTGCACTTTGCAGGCAGAGGGGCATTTAGGAGAGGAAATCAAGGAGAAAGGCTGCATTCTCCATTTCAGGGTGTGCGGGGGGTGGAACCAAGAGAAGACCAGGAATTCTTCAGGGGCTGGAAATCTGAACCAGAAGGCTTGGGGCATATTAGAATTGCCTGCAAGCTTCTAAAATAGATTAAACACAGGCCACATTCCAGACCAATTAAATCGGAATCTCTAGAGATGGGCGCTTCAGCATCAGCATTTTAAAAGCTCTACAGCAGGTGGATTCTACTGGACAGCCAGGCTAGAACCACTGGTCTAAGATTGTTTGAATCAGTCTTACCTAAATCTTGAAGGTGGCGTGTTCCACCCCCTCCCAATGTGCTGATTGCATTTACCTGTTGCCATGGTTTTAAGATGGTTTGCCTCCACCAAAAACTCTTGTTGAGACTTAAGTCCTCAATGCAGCAGGGTTAGAATGTGGAGTATCACGGAAGGTGTTCTGGTCAGGAGACAAAATCCTCATTACTAGATTAAATTCCTCTGGTGGGAGAGATATCCTGCTTTGTAGAACTGGAATGGTTACCTCAAGAGCAGATTCTTGTATAGCAAGAGTACCCCTTATGCTTTGGCTCTTCTGCACATGCCCGTTTGTCCTTCCACTTTTCTGCCTTGCATGAAGCAGCTTTCACCAGAAACTTTCACCAGAAGCCAATCAGATGCAACTGAACTTGGACTTTACAAGCCTTCAGAACCATGAACCATATGAGTCCTTTTTTTTTTTTTTTTTTTTTTTAGTGACTCAGTCTCAGGCATTCTGTTAATAGCAACAGAAAATGGACTAAGCCACCTGTTTACGTAGCTGTGTCCCAGAACCTGGCACAGTGCCTGACACGTGACATCAAATGTAAAAATCAATGACTAAATCTGTAAAAATCTGTAACTTAACATGACTGTAAAACTAAATCACTAAAAAGGCACTTCCAGCCCATTCAGTCAACAAGACCCATGTAAAAAGTTTACAGTTAGAAAAATTAAGGCCAAGGGAGAAGCCAGAATTCCCACAGCACAGCATGCAGGCCTAGAGGTCTCCAGGAAGCCCATCTTTGCTTCTCTTATTTTTGGTTTCTTTCATGTTCTCTAGAAGGCTGTGTATATGTGTGGAGAGGATGGGAAGTACTTTGCTTTCCCTCTCTACAAATTCAGTTTCATGCCTGTGTTCCAGGAATGAGTCTAAATTTATATTAAATTAGCCTCATCTATTCAACAAATATTTATCAAATGCATGCTATGTGCCAGGAACTGTTCCAGTATCAATTGTTGTTTTTCCTTTATATGTTCTTTTTTTCCTCCTTTTTTCTTTTGTGATACATCAATGAATAAAGAAGAATAAAAAATCCTTACCCTCATGGGGTTGCACGCTAGTACGGTGTGGTAGATGGTCTCCAAAGATGGCACCCAACAACTCTACCACACCTGCCTGTATATGATGCTCCTTCCATCAAGAGGTGGAGTCTAATTTCCCTCCCTATGAATATGAGCTGACTTTGATTAATAGAATATTACAGAAGTGAGGCTGTGCCAGTTTGGGGCCTAGCCCTTGAGAGAACTGGCTGCTTTTGATTTGGGTCTCTTGAAGACCACACTACAATATGAGAAGTACAAAACCTGCCCAGAAAGAGACCTACACAGTGGTCAACCAGTCAGCCTCCCCAGCAAAGGCACTGACACAAGAGTAATATGAACTTGATATTCCAGCTCAGCCAAGCCCCAAGTTGAACGCAGCCATCTGAGTGACCCCAGCCGACATTATGTGGAATAGAACTGCCCAGGGAAGTTCAGCCATCCACAGAGTCATTAGAAATAATAAATCACTGTTGCTTGAAGCTACTAACTTATGGGATGGTTGCACCAATAGAAAACTGAAACATTACGATATTCAGACAATAATAAGCATAGTAGGTATTATTTACTATAACCCATTTGATTTGTTATCAATTATCAGTGACTCCCAATTCTTTGGCTTGAGATCCATGAATATTTTCCTTCGCTTCTCTTTGAGGTAAACCTCCCCATACTCAGAACCTTCCTCACAAATCTCCTTTTGGGGGGCATGGTCAGGTGGATGAATAGTCAGCCCAGGAGGTCTCCCCCAAATCTCACAAGTGTGTCTGCCTGGTACATTGTAGGTGCTTTCTCAATAAATTGGGCTGGTTCTGTCAGAAACCCTCCATTGCCTCCTCTCAGTCCACATCATGTAACTGCCCCGATAGAAGCGCCTGCCATCAAGGGAAGAAATAAATAACCAAATCCCAATGTTTCTCTAGTCTGGAACACATAATTTGTCCAAGCTTTCTCCCTTCCTGAGGCAACCTCACCCCTACTTCCCTTGCTTGGAGGGGACCCTCTGGGTAAAACTTCCAGGGTGGGAAGGTTTTTAGGCTGTGTCACTATGGTCACTTGCTTCTCCTTTCTGCTCCCATCCACTCAATATCCCTGTGAGAAGAACACTGTGGCCTTGCTTGGGGAAACTTCCTCTATCCAGTGCACTTACTCCACATCCCTCATCCCGAGTGCACACACCTCAGCTGAGCCTATGTACGTATTCCAACCACTGCCAGTGATTGGTTCAGGAACAGCATATAACTAAAGTTCATCCAATCAGAGCTGATGCTAGAACTTCTGTGCTTCCAATAGGAAGAAAACTTCCTTCTTTCACTGGAATATCTTTTTTGTAAGAATAATGTAAACTTGAAGCCGCTGGGGCTGCAACAAAAGGAAGCTTTGTTGGGGGAATGAAATCAACATAGAAAAAGCAGAGCCAAAGTTCAGACAGTGACATCATTTGGGCCCCTGGATCCAGCAGTTCCAGGAGCATGCAGATCTCATCAGCAGGAGTAAGAGATGTCAGAGGGACTCATTCTTTCAGGCTCAGATGCCTTCTTTCATTCTGAAAGACAGAGGGCATATTCAAGGAACCTAAACATAGTTTGCTGGCAAGTCTCTAAGCTACTCATAAGTATCGTGTCCAGTTAAATAATTAAGTTATTTTTATCAGCATATAAGCTAGATGATTGCAATCGGGGTGTGTGTATTGATCAAACCTCTTTGGTTGCAAGTGACAGGAAACTGATTCCAATTGGTGTAAACACACAGGGAACTTATTGACTCACCTATCCTAACACAGAAAAAAACAGGGTAGTTCTGTCTTTGGGAACAGCTGGATGCAGAGATCAGAGCACTGTGGGACTGTCTTGAGCTTTCTCTTTTCTCTTTGTGTGTCAGATTCACTATATTTTAAGACTGGTTTCTCTTAGTGGCAGGGAACATGGCCTCAGGCAGTCTTAGCATACTTCCTCAGACAGAGCCAGAGAGAACAATCAGAGCTGATGGCTACCCCTCTAACTTCAGTTACAAAAATCCTGGGGAAGGTTTCTGATTGGCCCAGTCTGGGTCACATATCTACCTGTGTAGCTAGGGCCAAAATACGTCATCACAGGCAGGAAGACTGGTGCAGATCTGGCTTCCAAGGGGGCCCAGTAGCAAGTCTTGCTTGTATCAACTTGAAGAGGAGAGGGAAAGAGAAAAAAAAGACAGGAGAGCTCTTTGGGTGGCCACGGAGGGAACTCTGTCTACAGCACAGTCAGTCTGACATCTAATCAAACAACAGTGTCCAGGACATGGGATATCCTGAGTCTCAGAATTCAGAGTGAGTTTCCTTCTTGCCAGCCAGGAGGACTGATAGTTCTGTTAGGAGGAGGGTTAGGAGCATAGAGAGAAGGCTGGCTTGCCTTTGAATTATGCAAAGTGGAGTGTCATGGTAGCTTTGATGGTGTTTAATTAAATATTTGGCACATTTAATTAATTAAATATTTAAACATTAAATACAGAATCGGATGTGACTTAGTGGACATTATATCTCAATAGCCATTAGTCATTCAACAGCTCTCTGAATGGAGCCTCTGTGGCCTTAGCCTCCCTCTCCTGCATGAAGAAGGACTCCGGGAGACACCTGGGGAGCATCATTAATTAATTAATGATTGCGACTGCACTGGGCTCTGCTGTTTTTAGAATATCATGTGTCACACAGGCAAGGGCCTCTCCTGTTGGGTCTCAGGGCCAGATACAGGAAGGTGGAATAGGCCAGGAGCCTAGGGGTGGCAAATGAGCCCATGCCTCTGGGCAGAAAAATCTATGCCCAATTTACACATACATCTGTCCCCTCATCCATCCAGAACAGCCTAGATTCGCCAAGTACAGACTGTTTCCTTGGTTCCAGGCCATCTCCCCTTCCCTTGACCTGCCACCTACTAAGGAGGGACTGTGGGCTCCTTAATAGTCACAAAAGAGGAAATGCTGCCCCCATGTGGGGGAACATGCTCCCTCCACATGGCCCAGGATGAAGTGAGAAGTCTTCAATTTCCCCTTTGTATAATGCTCCAGGATCCTCTGAGGTACCTATGACCACCCACCAAAGCAATGGGAGTGGTTCTGCAGTCTCTTCTGGAAACTTCCTTGGGAATGGCAAAGTTATCTATACTTTGCTCTCCTTGGAACTGAAGGACATGCAGCTCCTCTCTGCCCGTGTGAGGTGGGAGGAGGCATGGATGTGTCAGTGGGTGGAGGATGGGGGTATAATGAGATGACAGGTCAGTGATCTTTCCAAAGAGTAAAAAAATACTGCCCTTGAGACAAAGTCCAGACTCCACGGAGGTGGCCCTGGTCCAGCTGCTCCTAGGAGCATCAGGCATCATCTTGACTCCCAGTCCCTCTCCTATCCCAATATTCTACATTCCAGACGCAGCAGCACCATGTCAATTCTGGAAAGAACCAGGGTCTGGGTTCTCTGGATCCTAGTATATTCTGTTCCCTTTGACTGAAATACTTTGTCGTCTTTCAGGTCTCACTTAAGATGGAACGCTGAAGGGACCCTGAAACCTGGGTCCACATCCTCCTTGTACAGATTTAAGATGCCAATTTCTCCAGGAAATTGCCTTTAGCATGGAAACAGGGACAGGAGGGGTAGGGAAGACAGTCTAGAGAAGGGGCAGATAGATGGCCAATAGTTTACAGACACATCCCAGGGACTGGATGTCAGGAGCTTCCCGCAAGCACCTGAGACTCAGTGGCAGTGACTTGAGGGGATGGGTGACTTGAGTGAAAGAAGGGTGGCCAAGTGGAAAGCTCAGAACTGCCACCTACTGGCCACTGAGAGAACGGGTCTGAAAATGCTCTAGAAACAGCAGACCTAAATAATCCCTGGATCCCCCAGGGGCATGGGAAAGGAGAAGCCCATCCACACTGAGGTTTCCAGGATATGTAAAAAGAGTGGGGGCGGGGGGTGGGTGGTGCCAAAACAGGGTCACAAAAACCATAGCCTATTTAAAATGGAAAATTTAACAGTTTTTACACCAAAATATATACAGCACAATGCAAGTAGGATTTTCACTAAATAAATGAAGGATTTAATCTAAGAAATATTTGCTCATGAACCAGTACAGGTGTTCTGGAAAGGCAGTCACACCTCTAAAGTAATTGGATGGATGCCAGCTTCTCTCCCTCCTTTTCCTCTGACAATGTGTAACTCCATTTGGAGCTGGCAGTCCCTTTGGGACCCTGAAACCTGAGTCCACATGCTCCTTGTGCAGATTTGAAAACCAAGGCTCAGAACAGGGAGACTCCTAGAATATTCTAGCCCAAATGGGGCCTCGCAGAGCAGCCTGTCCCCCACCCCAGCAGTTCTTTCCAGGCTCCACAGAACTCT